TTGACCACCTTGGCGCCCTTCCACATGAGCTCGAAGAAGAGCGGCAGGCCGAGCGGCGTGTTGACGAGTCCGACCAGGTCCGGGCTGAAGAGGGCCAGGTTGGCCGCGGTGATGGGTAGCGGCACCTCCGGGGAACAGCCCACCTCCGCCGCCAGATTGAGGGTGTCATGGTGCTCGAACAACGAGAACGTGCCACCTGTTCCGGTGGTGCAGAAGAAGAAGATGAAGATGTTAATGTCACGTGGTGACTCGAGACCCTCAGTGCGTTGGTGGTGGTGTGGTGGTTCTCATGTGGTGGTGACACACGTACCAACGGACACCTTGGCGTTGTACTGTGGGAGGGCGATGGACTTGGTACGGCCACCGAAGCCGTCAAGGCTGTCTACGATAAGCACACGCAGCCCCGGATTGGCCTGTAACATAAGAGAGTAAATATCTATCAGTATTTATTCAGTGGAATTTCAAAGAGCGGCAGTATTTGATTGGACAAGTAAATATAGTGATCCAGTTTAATTTAGATTGGGGTGATGGTAGCCCTGATGATGGTCTTTCGCGTGGCGTTGCAACAAGCCAAAAAAGGAAGACAATATTTTGACGACAATAAACTCGTGCTTGGCGGGAGCTGCGGGCCGCGGGTGTGGAAAGAGAGGTACGGTACCTGAAGGAGACGGTAGGCCGCGGTGAGCCCAGACAGACCGGAACCGACGATGATGACGTCCCACTCTGTGTTGGTAACATTGTTCTCGATGTGCTTCTTGTCGTTGCTTCCTCCCCTGCGAATTGGAATGTAAGGTAAGTCTACTTCAACCGAAGGAGGTAGGAATAGGAGGTAAAAAGAACGAAAAGCGAGACGGCACGTCGGACGTAAAAGAAAGAACCAAGGGAAATACATGATGGTGGTTGTGAGTAGCACGTCGGCTCGGGGTAGGATAAGGTCGAGCCCAGAGCCCGATCGGTCGGTCGTGGTAGCGGAAGTCTTTGCGCCTTGTGTATAGGTAGGAGGTTGGTTCTCCTGGGTGCGGATGTCTTGGCTTTTGTCGTTGGCTACAGACGACGTCCTTCGCTCGAACTGGTTTGCGCAGAAGCCCTTGTCTCTTTGCTTGTTCTGGTTGCTTGATGTTCAGTTGTCTCGTCCTTCCAGCTAACTATCTCGAAAAGCCGTTGGTTGGGTGAAAGCGCGTTTGGTCGAAGAAGACGAAGGTGATGCTGCGGTCGTAAGGTGACGAAGGTGGAGGTGATGTTTACGCGTGGTGGCGTGTGTGAGGAATGATGGTTCGCGAAGGGGCGAAGAAGTAGCGGGCGTGTGATGTGGCGGTTGGAGAGAATTGCCAGAAAAGAACTAAAATAAGTGGTAAAAATGTCATCGGTGAACCGGCTTGGGTGAAACCATCACCCGAAGGTGTGGGCAGAGTTTAGCGCACCTTGCCTATTGGCCCGCCGATGAGCTGGTTGAACTCACGGTCGGCTTAGTGGCTCCACTACAGCGCTATTTTAGGGAATTCCACAATTAATTAATGGTACCGTGCACAAATACCTTTGCTCTCTTTAGGTTTGGGTTGCTGGGCGGACCAGTAGCAGCGCGACATGATCGGGATCTCCCTCCTAGGCTTCACCACTTAAAGCACGCGTGCCATGGGGGCCTGGGTGACCGAACACACACACTTAGAAATATCACAGAATAAGCTCTAGGGTCGGTGAACACATACCGAATGCAAGAAAAGTGTGATCCTGCGCAGGCCCGTACGGGCGCCGATGAGGAAGGTCTCAAGATCATCAGCCTCCAGGCTTCCTGAAGAAATTCGGTGAGCACAAGGACGCATGGACGACGGGATTGTTGGTGGTGGCCCTACGGCCGCCATCACAGAGCCACATGCTGAACTATTTTTGATCCCCTCGTTCTCACACGACAGCTACAAAAAGGTTTGGCCGAAGAATTTTTGGCACGTACCTTTTTTTTTCTCTCTTTTTTCTTTTTCTCTTTCTCGCTTGCGTCGTGGTCGCGGTTCGAACCTCGCACGCACGCATCTACCGACAAGCCCACGAATGTTAACCCCCCCCCAAATCCCGGTCAAGCCACAACCGGGTTGTGGTGGAGTCGTACGCTGTCTTCATGAAGTTGGATTTTGGTAGCGGAGGCCTAGCACGCCCCGGCAGGTCTCACATCACGCACCCGGCGGGTAGCAGCACCGTGCAGAGTGGTGTAGTGCTGTGGGCGAAAGTACTGGACTGCGAGGGGCACCCGGGGCAGACGACAACGAAGGGGGGTTGCAAGAATTATCGCTTTTCGCTTTGCTGCCTGCAATTCGTTAAGTCGGCTCAGGGCGACTGTTGAAAGCTTACAGGGCTGTTATGTGGGCTTCATAACTTCTTCGATGACGAAGCAGAAGAGCCAAAACTCACTTCGGTGGCGCTTCTCTGGTTCTTCGCCGAGTGGTCACTCCTGCACAGATCGTGCAAGAAATCGAGTAAAATCCAAAGTTAGAAAGTACAGCGAGAGATGCAGCGAGATGGCCCTGCAGAGGGGGGCTGCCGCTATGGCGAGGAGCCGGCACACGAGGGCAGCTCTTTCTACTTATGGAGTACGGCCACCGCTCAGATCTTCAAGATCTTTTGTTTTTATTTTCTCTTTATTTATTTTCAACAAGCCCCCAAGTAACGTTTCTTTGTGCGCAGAGCCGCAGCTGGCGCAGGTCAGGGCCTGCTACGGCCCACAGATCACAAAACAGATTCAAGTACACCTTCTCCTCTTTCCTAGATCTAGACGGGGAGCTTGTGCTGCTCTGATTGTGCTCTTGCCTACAGAAACAGCAACGGAGGAGAATGCTCATTGAGCTCCCTCAGCGCTTGGCCCAGCTCAAAGAACA